TCTGTTTTTCTGTTCTGTTCTTGAACATCAATTTAAATTGTTATGTAACTGATAAGTGCTATAAAAATTAACTTGTCTTATTTTGCTTAAATATCTTGGAGAATAGGCCAGTTTCTTTCATTTTGTTGCTCTCTGTATCACGCTCTGCAGGTAACACGACATCAGAGTTTAATCCTACAATCATGGAAGACCTATGTGAGTAGACCTGAATATGTCATTTAATAATCTATTTATTATTTATCTAGACTCTTTCTGCAATTTGTGTTGTGTGTTTTCATTTACATTTTGTGTTTCATAAAACAGGTAAAGCCATCATTACAGCAGCTGCAGTAGGTAGGTATGAGTCTCTCCATGGCTTTCAGAAAAATCCTGAAAAGTTAACTTGTGTTTCCTCTACTATGGTCTTGCAGGAGGTACTGTGGTTCTGACTCCTGCTGTTCTGACGGGAATGGGCTTCACTGCAGCTGGAATAGCAGGAGGCTCTATAGCTGCTCAGCTGATGTCAATTTTTGGATCTACCTGGTTGATATCTCTCTTGCAATCTATAGGTAAATTCAGGGCTGATTTTTCATAAATATATTTTGTATGGATGTTGTTTTTAAAGATAGAAAACTTGCAAATGTGATAATTAAGAATGAGGAAATAAAACAAACTGCATATAAAATAAACTTATCGACTACAGCTGAGGGACCTCAGATTTTTTTTTTTTGTCTTTTACTACAGGTGCCACTGGAATGGGATGGTTTGGAAATTCACTATGGGGCGTGTTCGGAGGTTTTATAGGAAATCAGATATCATTTATCTGCAATATAACTGTTGTGTATAAAGACACCGAACCATAGCATTGATGTGAAATTGATGACCATTGATCTATAGTCTCCAAATTCTGTTCTGCCTTTTAATAGATGTTTTCATATCCTCCTTAGCTAGCCACTGCAAGTAGATGATGTATTTAGACTATATGAAAGATTTTTTTAAGCATTGTTAAGCATTTGTTATTTTATCTTTTAAACTTCAATGAAATAAATTGTATTGATGATCCTTCAAGGTTTTTAATAAGACAACAGAGATGTTTTACCAGGGTGTCCTAACAATGATGCAAAGTGGTCAAATGTGAGATGAAATCTAAGGTTTGTCTTTTAGTCGCTCCAGTAAACAGAAGAGTTTTTTCTTGCTTTGGATCATTTTAAAGTAAACTGTATTTGTTCTGAGCATCTTAAAGGAATAAATATTAGATCTGGGTGATTAAAGTTATTTCAACCAACTAATTGTCTACTTATTTTTTGCTGTCTCTTTATGTCTTTCTCTTTAAGATGTGTGTTCAATTGGAGCACATGTTAGGGAGTTCTGATCAGTAATGTTTATATTTGCTGTATTTGTTGGAGTTAAAATATTTTTGACACAACAACGACTCAACAGGATGATTACAGTTTGATATTTTTCAAAAGATAACCACATTTTTGTTTCAGTATAACTCACATGTTGTTGGAAAAGGAACCAATCAAATACCTGACCTTTACTTTTTGATGACAATTTCAAACAATGGCCAGGTATCAAATGCAAGAAATATATCATACTAGTATGTTATATGATAATTATTTTATTTATTCAGCCAACCACAAAATAGGCTTAAATCAGAGGCGTTTCATTTTTCTGAAGATGAAAACAAGCTGACAGAATTGAAAAATACTCCTGAATAGGGGCTCTTTCTGTCAGACAGATTTGAGGATGAGCTGACATAGTCAGCATTTCAAGGTTTGATGACTGATATAGAGTCTGTTAAATATAACTTTTTTGTCCTAAGTACTTTCAAATACTTATGAAAAATACACTATACATAGTTTTATCATTCTTTATTTTCTTTAATAATTATAATCATTATTACCTCCAACTCAATTGCTGAACTCTTTTTCTTCATTTATAGCCACTCCCAAAACTATGGAAGTAAATCTGTGTCGCCAGGATTTGAATTAAAAATGCCACTGAAATTTAAATGTTGTATGTTTGTACTTACTGTCTCGGTGTTAAAATATATGCGGAACACATTTTTGGCCTAAA